GGATGGGGGATCCATTTTCCCCAGTCTGGCGGCAATGAGCCACAGATGGTGTACAAAGGGGTACTAAACACATCCTGCCCCTACCTTGGATTCCCCATGAACTCCCTTTTCCTGATGCTCACCCCACAGGAAGCAAAAGAAAACCACGTACCTTCCTGTTATTGGATCTCCTGAAAAGCAGGCCTTGATTGACAATCTTCTGGCAAGGCAGGACTCTACAGTTGAAGCCACAATAGGTCAGGAAGCTTTCTGGTCAGCTCTTAAAACTGATTTGCAAGTGAGGCAGTGAGTTCTTTGAGTGGTGAGGGTGACAGTCAGTCAGCATTAAACATCCCATCCCCACAGCTAGAATGAAAGTTGGAGAATCACAGCCGAGATCCTTATAAGTCTAAAGGCTTGAATCTCTTTTATTGCTGCAACTAAAAGTGTAGGCTGAAATTTAAAACCAACCTTGATCATAATACAAAGAATTTGAAATCAATCTGAAATTAAAATCATAACGGTGAATTTTATTCATATTTTTAAGAAATGTAATAACTTAGAACTTTGGAGAGAAACTTGTCTTTCAGTGAAAAATGGGAAATACTTTCTTCCTACAATTCAGGATCATTAACGAAATCACATTCTGAAAAAAGTACTGGTCTCTAAACTACAACGTGCTCCAATTTAAATTGCAGTTTTTAGTTATGAACAATAATAGATTTTCTCCACATTTTGTGAAGAGGTACATTGAGCCTTGTACATTTATTGCTTAAAAGCTGCAGTTACCGCCTTAACACATTATGACACTCTTTCTTTCCAACTTTGCACTTTCTAATTAAGGAGAGCACTTCCAATGGAACAATTTGATTTGAAGCACTCAAGCTGTCAATCATTGGTATGGACAAAATGTTCAACAGTCAATCAGATTACTCCATTTACAAAAGCTAGGCACTAAATTCCATGAGGTTGTTGATTTGCTCGCTGAGCTGGCTTGCTCTCGTTCAGATGTTTTGCCACCATGCTAGATGACATCATCAGTGGAGCCCTCAATGAAGTGATGTCATTCTACTCTACTTGGAATTTATACTGTTTGGTCCGTTATGTTGAGTATTGTCATTTCCATTCTATATGTTTGTTGATTGCATTGCAGGTACAATGCAGACCAAAACTGGAAATGACACTACTCACCATAACGCACCGGATAGTATAAATTCCAAACGGAATAGAATAGCATCTTTTGTTTTGCTTTTGTTCCTGATTTACAGCATCACTTCATCAGAGGCTCTACTGATGATGTCACCTAGCATGGTGGTGAAACATCTGAATGAGAATAAGCCAGCTCAGCAAGCAAATCAACAACCTCCCCCACAACCCGAGCTACAGGTCTTTGCCAAAACTTTAAACTAAATTCCTTTTGATATACATTAACTAAAAGGCCCACAGCAGGATCATGACCTGTCTTGATCATTGCCAGTTGATTAAGCTTAAGAAAATTGCTGTATTCTAGACTAACTTATGTGTTTGGGAATCAATGATTTTAACAATCCATTAGTTCCTCAGCTGAAGACTAACTTCCTGTTGCAGTATAATTGCATCAGTGCCAACAATACTGAAGTACTTTGACTGTGTGTTTATTTCTCTTGTAGAAACCAGTCAGTGAGTGTTAATGGCCTACTTGACCAAGGGAAAAGCACTGTAACCAAACTCTGACAACTTCACAGGTACCTTCTAACAAAAACCATGGACACAGTTCAAAGGTGGAAACATGGGAAGATTTAATCCTTTCCTAGCCTTGGTGCAATTAAACTGAAACCTTGAAACATAGAAACATAGAAGATAGGAGCAGGAGGTGGCCATTCGGCCCTTCGAGCCTGCTCCGCCATTCTTCATGATCATGGCTGATCGTCCAACTCAATAGCCTAATCCTGTTTTCTCCCCTTAACCTTTGATCCCATTTGCCAGAAGTGCAGTATCTAGGCGCCTCTTGAATACATTCAATGTTTTGGCATCAACTACTTCCTGTGGTAATGAATTCCACAGGCTCATCACTCTTCGGGTGAAGAAATGTCTCCTCACTTCCGTCCTAAATCATCTACCCAAATCCTCAAACTGTGACCCCTGGTTCTGGACACACCCACCATCGAGAACATCCTCCCTGCATCTACACTGTCCAGTCCTGTTAGAATTTTATAAGTCTCCATGGGATCCCCCCTCATTCTCCTGAACTCCAGCAAAAACAATCCCAACTGAGTCAATCTCTCCTCATACGTCAGTCCCGGCATCCCCAGATTCAGCCTAGTAAACTTTCGCTGCACGTCCTCAAGAGCAAGAGCATCCTTCCTCAGAAAAGGAGGCCAAAACTGCACACAATATTCCAGGTGTTGTCTCACCATGGCCCTGTACAACTGCAACAACACCTGAGATAACAATGTGTACAGCTGGATGAACACAGCAGGCCAAGCAGCATCAGAGGAGCAGGAAAGCTGACGTTTCGGGTCTAGACCCTTCTTCAAAAATGGGGGAGGGGAAGGGGATTCTGAAATAAATAGGGAGAGAGGGG